TCGTCCCATGGCCCACGACAGTGGCCCCGAGGGTGCACTTTCCTGGTCCGGCCGTGCTGGGTGTTGTGGCCAACAATCCGCTGTTGGGTTACTCTGAAAATCTGGTGTTGGTTCGTGGTCGAGGTTTTTCGGCGACCTTAATGTTGCAGTGGTTTCCGTCGTGTGTGACAATGGGGGTTGGACGTGGCTCGAGCTGCCTGCGGTGGCCGGGGCTGAGGCACCCCTCTTGCTTCCTATTCCTATGTCTCCCTGGCGTGGGGTTAGTGAGAGGTCGGTGTCGTGGGACTCAAACAATGGTGTTGGATGGGTTCGGGCATTGGTGGTTTGGGGAGGTGAGATTGGGATTCCTCTGCCTGAGAAGCGGGTCGATTCCTGGAGTGGTTTGAGTTTGGGTTGGCTTCAGTTAGGCTTTTGTTGGCAGTTTCAGGAGCGGTTTCTTAGACAATGGACCAGTCTATTGGGGTCGGCCCTGTACCTGCTGGTGCTTTGTGCTGGTTTTGGTCTATCTGTTGGGGAAGGGTTTTGTTTTGTTAGTTTGTTTTGTTGTTGTTTTAGTGTGTTTGTTTGTGCTTTGAGTGTTGTGTTTTTGTTTGTGCGTGTTGTTTAGTGTTTTAGTTGTTTGTGTTGTTGTTTTATCTCATGTTTGGGAGTGTGTTATTCTTCTGTTAGGAGCGTGTTATTCTCCTGTTTGGAGATGTATAGTTTTGTTAGTTATGTAAAATGTATTCTTTTACTATAGGCTAGGTTTCGGCTCAACTTAGGCTAAGGCCTATCTATGTATCTATAAATATGTGTATATGTCTTTGTGAATAATATATCAAATATTTTTCTCGTATTCTTATATGGTATCAGACTAGGTTTAGGGTCAATTATAGGTTTTTATTTTGTCGCACGTCTCCGGCCATCACCGGTTCTCACCGCCCGTGCCATCATCTCTGGCGTGTCTCGGCGAGTCGTCGCCTGAAATCCGGTCTCAGTCGCCGGCGCGTGTGCTCCATGTTACCGGTATTTCCAATTTACAGGACTATCTTTATCAGCGTTTTGAGATGAAGAGTTTGGGTCAGCTTCACTATTTTTTGGGTCTTGAGATTTCTGATTCCTCTGATGGCTTCTATTTGTCTCAAGCCAAGTATGCTTATGATCTTCTTGCTCGGGCCGGTCTCACTGATTGTCAGATAGCTTCCACACCTCTTGATTATGATGTTCATCTTACTCCACTTGATGGCTCTCTTCTTGAGGATCCTACGTTATATCGTCAGCTTGGTTGAAGTTTGATACATTTGACTGTCACTCGGCCTGATATAGCTCATGTTGTTCATATTGTGAGTCAGTTTATGGCTGCTCTGAGAACCACACATAATTCTGCTCTGTTGCACATTCTTCGTTATGTGAAAGGCACTCTATTGCATGGTTTACACTTCTCGGCCCATTTTTCCTTGACGCTTAGCTATTATTCCGATGCAGGTTGGACTGGAGATCCTACTGATCGTCGTTCTATTACTGGGTACTGCTTCTTTCTAGATGATTTACTCGTCTCTTGGCATAGTAAGAAGCAAACATTAGTTTCCAAATCGAGTGTTGAGTCTGAGTATCGTGCTCTTGTTGATTCCACCTCAAAGTTATTATGGTTGCGTTGACTACTTGCTGATCTTGGTGTACCTCAGTCGTCGTCTACTGTTTTACATTGTGATAGTCAGAGTTCTATAAAGATGTCTCATAATGATACCTTTCATGAGCGCACCAAACATATTGAGATTGACTGTCACTTCATTCGACAGCATGTTGCACATGGGACTGTGAAGCTTGTTTCCGTCTCTTCTATAGATCAAACAGCAGATGTCTTCACAAAGTCTCTCCTTCCCGATCGCTTTTGTTTACTTCTTAGCAAACTCAAGTTGATCTCCACTGTACCATCTTGAGTTTGAGGGGGGTGTTAGTTATGTAAAATGTATTCTCGTACTATAGGCTAGGTTTAGGCTCAACTTAATTAGGCTAAAGCCCATCTATGTATCTATAAATATGTGTATATGTCTTTGTGAGTAATAACATTAGATATTTTTCCCACATTCTTACAAGTTTGTTGTGTCGTGAGTGCGTTAGTGTAGTTCATTCTAGACTACCTTCGTGTAGGCTTCCTAGATTCAGCTATTTGACTGTTTGGCTATTTTAATTGTTTTGTAGTTGTAATTATATAATTTTTAGATTTAACAAAATTTATATCGTTTCGAAAAAAAAAAGTAGGTTAAATTTCAAGGTTTTTCAATTAATTATATAAAAAATAAAGTTCACACTTT